AGCAGCAGGATCGGATCGGATCCTGCTCTTCTGCTGCTGCTGCTGCTGCTGCTGCTGCTCGATATAAAGAGTAAATAAGACATAATAATAAATAAATTAAATAAATAAATTAAATAAATTAATTAATAATATTTATTTCTTTTTTTTTTCTTTTTTTTTTCTTTTTTTTTCTTTTCTTTGCTGCTCGCGTGTACAAAGACAGTGCGCAGCAATCGCGAGCTGCTGCTGCTGCTGCTGCTGCTGCTGCTGTCTTCTACGCGTCTTCTTCTCTTCTTCTTCCTGCTTTGTTGCTGCTGCTGCTGCTGCTCTTGCTGCTGCTGCTGCATGCACGGAACTACCTTGCAGCAATTTGTATTAACACGTATTTAATTTGTTGCTGTTGCTGTTGCTGCAGCAGCAACAGCAGCATATATATTCATCGTGCTGCTGCTGCTGCTGCTGTTGTTGCAGCTGATGCTTTGTTGTGTTGCTGCAGCAGCGCAGCACGAAGTGAATAAACAGCAGCAAATAAATGCATAAATAAATACCTTTTTTCTTCTTTTTTCTTCTTTTTTTTTCTTCTTTTTATTTGTTTATTTATTTTTTATTCTTTTTTTCTCTTCCTTAGCAGCAAAACCTCTGTCTTATATTGTCATCGACAGCAGCAGCAGCAGCAACAGCAGCAGGAGCAGCAGCAGCAGCAACAGCTGCAGCAGCATTCCTGCTGCTGATCTGCTGCTATACACACCATTAATAACAGAAGACGGATACATTTAGTACACAATAGGGTCAATGAATAGCAGCAAGAGCAGCAACAGCAGCAGCAGCAGCAGCAGCAGCAGCAGCGGGAGCAGCACTTGCAGCACAAGGGAACCACACTAGCAGCAACAACAACAGCAGCAGAAGCAACAACACAAACAGCTGCAGCAGCTGCTGCACCACACAAGCTTAGTAAGCAGCAGCTGCAGCAGCAGCAGCTGCAGCAGCAGCAGCAGCAGCAGCAGCACTAGTAGTCTAAGAGGAGGGGGGTCTGCTGATTGGCAATCTGCAGCAGATCCAGCAGCAACAAAGACACCATTAACAGCAGCAGCAGCAACTGCAGCAGCAGCAGCAGCAGCAGCGAGGAGCCTTAGAAGTCGTAGCTTCAAGGCTACAGCCGCCGCCGCAGCAGCAGCAGCAGCAGCAGCAGCAAAAGACAGCTGGGGACGCAGCAGCACAGAATTTGTTGTGTGTGTGTCAAGACTAGCACGACAGCAGCAGAAGCTGCTGCAGCAGCAACAGCAGCAGCAGCAGCAGCAGCAACTGCAGCAGCAGCTGCAGCAGCAGCTGCAAAGTCACTGCTGCTCGTAAGTGTCGCGCACAGTCGTGCAGTGTCTGTACACCTAAATAATATTAATTAATTAATTGATTTAATTAATTAATTAATTTATTTATTTATTTGTTTATTTATTTATTTATTTATTTATTTATTTATTTATTTATTAATAAAAAATGTTTCCCTTAGCTGCTGCCCCTGAGGGGACAGCAGACTTTCTCTTATCGGAGGCAGCAGCAGCAGCAGCAGCAGCAGCAGCAGAAGCAAATATGGAGAGTTCAGCAGCAGCAGGAGATGCAGCAGTATCTGCATTATATAATTATCCTTATAGCAGCAGCAGCAGCAGCAGCAGCAGAATAGGTCATCGCCGCAGCAGCAGCAACACATTATTTGGTGTAACAACAGCATTAGCTGCTGCTGCTGCTGTTGCGCTGCTGCTGTCTTTCTGCTTCTTGCTGCTCAAGAGACACCGCAGCAGCAGCAGCAGCAGCAGCATCAGATACACCCCACGTATGAATTTGCGGCTGCTGTCTAGCAGCAACAACGATGAGGAAGACCAAGACCTCTGCAGCAATGCAGCAGCAGCAGCAGCAGCAGCAGCAGCAGCAGCAGCAGAAGAAGAAGAAACAGCAGCAGATACAACAGGAGTAGCACAAGCGCTTACACAGCAAGCACATGAAGCAGCAGCAGCAGCAGCAGCAGCACAGTTAGCTGCTGCTGCAGCGACAGCAGCAACAGCAGCAGGAGACGGAGCAACTGGACCACCACAAGCAGCAGTAGCAGCAGCACAAGGTGTACTACCACCAACAGCACCTGCAGCAGCAGCAGTACCTGCAGCAGCACCTGCACCTCCAGCAGCAGCAGCAGCAGCAGCAGCACCTCCAGCAGCAGCAGCAGCAGCAGCACCACCACCACCACCACCACCACCACCACCTCCACTTCCTACAGAGCCACCACCACCATTACCACCACTACCAACAATGCCACCACTACGCCCAGTAGCAGCAGCAGCAGCAGCACCAGCAGCAGCAGCAGCAGCAGCAGCAGCAGCACCAGGAGCACCTCCACTTCCTACAGAACCACCACCACCATTACCACCACTACCACCATCACCATCACTACCACCCATGCCACCACTACGCCCAGTAGCAGCAGCAGCAGCAGCAGCAGCAGCAGCAGCACCTCCAGCAGCAGCAGCACCGGCAGCAGCAGCAGCACCACCACCACCACCACCACCACCACCATTACCACAACTACCACCAATACCACCACTACGCCCAGTAGCAGCAGCAGCAGCAGCAGGACCTGCAGCAGCAGCAGCAGCAGGACGTGGAGCAGCAGCAGCAGGACCTGCAGCAGCAGCAGCAGCACGACCTGCAGCAGCAGCAGCAGGACATCCAGCAGCAGCACCTCTACTTCCTCCATTACCCCCAGTAACACTACCACCAATACCAGCACTAAGACCAGTAGCAGCAGCAGCAGGAGCAGCAGCAGCAGGACCTGCAGCAGCAGGATCTATGCTTCCTCCACCACCACCACCAACCCTACCACCAATACCAGCACTAAGACCAGCAGCAGCAGCAGCAGGAGGAGGAGCAGCAGCAGCACCTGATTCAGGTGGTAGTTTCCTGCGTCAGCACCTGCTGCAGCACAAGCAGCAGATGCAGCAGCAGCAGCAGCAACTGCATGCAGCCTCTCTTGCTGCAGGAGATGAAGAAGCATGGCTAGATACAAGTGATGTAGATGACGAGGAGACAGATGACGAGGAGACAGCAGCAGCAGAAGTAGATAAGGCAGCAGCAGCAGGTGCTGCTGCTGCTGCTGCTGCATTTGCTGCAACAGAATCTCCATTTAGTGCTCCTGCAGAAGTAGCAGCAAGACAGCGAGCAGCAGATGCAGATGCAGCAGCAGCAGCAGCAGCAGCAGCACGGACAGCACAAGCAACAAGAAAAAAAGGAGGAGCAGCAGGAGAAGAAGCAGCAGGAGCAGCAGGAGCAGCAGCACAAGTACGTGATATAGGAGTACCTCCTGCTGCTCGTACTGGTCGTGCTGCTCGTTCTGCTCGTGCTGCTCGTGCTGCTCTTGCTGCTCCTCATGCCCTTATGCCTATGGTGTCTCCTGCAGCAGCAGCAGCAGCAGCAGAAAGCTTCAAGGAGCTGCGCACGCGTTATCCCCTTATGTCCCATTTGCTGCTAACAAAAGAAGAGGAGTTACCTGCACTGCAGCAGCAGCAGCTGCTGCAGGAGCAGCAGCTTCTGCTGCTGCAGCAGCAATCTCTTACACCCGAGGAGCAGCAGCAGCAGAAGGAGCTGCAGCTGCAGCTAAGGTTGCATCAGCTCGAGCAGCAGCAGGTCGAGCTGCAGCGGAGGAGACAGCGGGACCACCAGAAGAGGCTGCAGATGGAGCTGCAGCGCATGCAGCAGCTGCAGGAGGAGATTAATCAGCAGCAGAAGCAGCAGCAGAAGCAGCAACATATGCAACAAAAGATGCAACGACAGATGCAGCAGCAAATGCAGCACATGCAGCAGCAGCAGCAGCAGCAAATGATGCAGCAGCCAATACAGCCATCGCCTCTCCCCACATTGCAACAGCAGCAGCAGCAGCAGCAGCAGCAGCAGCAGCCGATGCAGCAGCAGCAGCAGCAGCAGCAGCCGATGGAGGAACCGGAGCCGATGGAGCAGCCGGAGCTGATCGAGCAGCAGCAGCAGCAGCAGCAGCCGGTGGAGCAGCAGCAGCAGCCGATGCCGCCACCGTCACCCCTGCAGCAGCAGCAGCCATTGCCGTCACCGTCACCGCTGCTGCAGCAGCAGCCGATTCCTCCACCGTCACCCCTGCAGCAGCAGCAGCTGATGCCGCCACCATCACCCCTGCAGCAGCAGCAGCAGCTGATGCCGCCACCGCCTCCACTGCAGCAGCAGCTGGCGATGCCGCCGCCACCACCGCTGCAGCAGCAGCAGCAGCAGCAGCAGCTGCAGCCACTACAGCAGAAGAATAGAAGGAAGAGAACAAGGCCCGAGCAATATCTACCGGAGGCAGTAGCAGCAGCAGAAGAAGAAGAAGCAGCAGCAGAAGCAAGAAGAAGAGCAGCAGTAGCAGCAATAGCAGCAGGTACCTCATATCCAGGAGGGCCAGCAGCAGCAGCAGCAGCAACAGCAGCAGCAGGAGTTTTGCCGCCGTGGAGTAGTGAATGGGGACCACGACACGTATACTTCCCTGGTTTAGTCAGCAGCAGCAGCCGCAGCAGCAGCAGCAGCAGCAGCAGCACCAAGAGCAGGAGGATGCAGACAGCAGCAATGAAGAAATATCCTGGAGAGACACCATCAGCAGCAGCAGCAGCAGCAGCAGCAGCAGCAGCAGCAGGAATAAGTACAAAAGGCAAAACACCAGCAAAAAAAACAGGAGCATCAGGAGCAGCAGCAGCAGGAGCAGCAGCAGCAGGAGCAGCAGCAGGAGCAGCAGGAGGAAAAGGGAAAGGGAAGAAAAGAAAAAGAAGAGGAGGATTAGAGGCAGGAGAAGTAATTGGGTATAGTATACAAGAGATAAAAGGAGGAGAAAAAGGGACAAAAAAGAGACAAAAAAGAAGAAAGGAGACAGGAGGAATATATGATGATGATAAGCCATCTACATCTGCTGCAGCAATAGCAGCAGCAGAAGCAGCAGCAGCAAGAGCAATAAGAAGTGCAAGAGCAAAAGAAGCAGCAAGAGAGAGAGAAGAAGCATTAGCAGCAGCAGCAGCAGCAGCAGGAGCAGCAGCAGGAGATATAGATTCAGATACAGAGGAGACACTATTACTAGAACAATTAAGTACATTAATAAGAAGAGAGACACAAGGAGACACACCAGCAGCAGCAGCAGCAGCAGCAACTGCAGCAACTGCAACAACAGCAACAACATCAGCAGCAGCACATCATCATCATCATCATCCATCAACATCATCAGCAGCAGCAGCAACAGCAGCAGCAACAGCAGCAGCAAGAGGAAGAGCAGCAGCAGCAAGAGGAGCAGCAGCAAGAAGAGATCTAATTATATCAGGAGAAGGAGAAGAAGATGAGGAGACAGAGGAGGAGACAGGAGAGGAGGAGGAGGAGACAGGAGAGGAGGAGGAAGAAGAGGAGGAAGGGGAGGAGACAGGAGAGGAGGAAGAAGAGGAGGAAGAAGAGGAAGAAGAAGAGGAAGAGGAGGAAG